GGGGGGGGGTTGTTGATGATCGGGTGAAAGCCGAGATGAGAACTGTTCGTTTTTCAGCAAACGATATTTGGTTTGAATGCATTTCCCAAAACATGATAAACAAAAGCAGGCCGATTAATATGCATCATAAGCCTACATCCTTACTCTTTTCGCATCGCACAGTTCTCAAGTGTGCGATAAAGCCCGCTTTCAGGTCTGCTCCTCGCAGCCTTGCAGGACGTCTGAACCACACCTGAAGGCAGCAGAGAAGCAGAGGGAGGGGAGACCACGGATGACCACGGATAAAGGCTGCGGATTTAGCCGCATTAAATCAAAGAAACCGCAAGAAAAATGTCCTTCATCCCCGCATCCCGCTCGGGACCAGTTTGGCCTCCTTCTGTGCGCAGAACCGCAAACTGTCACTAACTGGTATCCCCTGATCCTAATCTGTCATGGTGCAGTGTTGAGTAGGTTAAATCACGGGACTTGCCTTGGATGCAGTCCACATCTTGGACTTGCCTCCAGGGCGCAGACGAAAGCGAGCTGCATCTTTTCGGCCTAATTGTGCGCGCCGTACAGCGCATCCAAGAAGATGCAGAGAAATGTCCGAGCCTGGCTGCGCAGAAATGCGTTTACCTCAGCTATTCATTCTTCACACCGTAACTAACCGAAAACAGCTCGTCATAAAAGACGCTGATGTCGCTGTTGAAATATTGATTATGATAAGGATCGTACCCGCTTTCAGCCAGTGCTAACGGGATTTTCCTTTCAAAGACAGCGAAGCGCACGGGAGCAACTTACTTTAGCGGGGCTTTTGTTTTTGATGGTGAGCTGGCATTGCTTTTTGCAGTAATTGATGTCACCCAGCTGGTTGTCAAACAGATCCGAGGACGTCGCGGCAGCGAGCCCGGCGAGAAGAACCGAGAGCAGGGCGGGGAACCAGCCGCGCATGCTGCCGCCGAACCGGAGCATCTGAGGGAGCCTGGAGAGAGGAGCGGAGAGTCGGCCTTCAACCCGCACTGAGCTACCTGGGATGGTGCTGCTGCTGCTGCTGCTGCTGCCTCGGCTCCGCTCGGGTCCTGTCTGTCTGTTGCTCTTCCGATCAGCTCCTGCTCATGGCGTCACGCGCATCATCACCATTCTGCTCGCACACACGCACGCGCGCGCCGTTCTTCTTTAAACTGAACCTGCAGAGCAGCCTTCACTGCAGTGTGTAATGTGCCTCTGATGACTTTGGCACAAACTGTTAGAAGATGGTAAGCGAAGATGATGTTGGCAGCAGTGATTCATCCCGCTTAAATGAGAATATGAAAAAGAAAAAAGAAAAAACACACACA